GGTAGCGGCCAACTGAGACAAAGGGATAGAACCTCCCTGATCCACACGCTTCCCAGCAGCCTTCGCACGAGGGGAGCTCGTCCTCGCTCTCTTCACTGCCGCATCCGAGGCGGGAGCCTCCACCACCCTCTTTCCCCCTCGCCGAGACAGAGGGACAGACGGCTCGACCTCCGGCCCCGCCAGGTCTACGACTAGCGGGACAGTAGACGGCCGACGGTCAACAGCCGTCGTGCCCGCCTCAGTCCCCGGGGCAGAAGAGCTGCCTACCTTAGTATTCCTTCCCGCCTTCCTCTTCTTAGGGCGGTTCGCGTCCGCCAGCTCGCGAAGGCCTGAAAAAGAAAAGCATAAGTGAAGCACATGAGAAAGAGAAGTTCAACATTAGCCAAAAAAGCAACACTAACCATAAAACGCACGAATCTGAATCCCATTCACGAGACGTGTAACATGATCCTTCACTGATTGAGGAAACTGTGAGGGCGCACACCAGTCATCCTTCTGCCCTGCCGAGTAACTCGTCCGCGGTTCCTCGTCAACCGAATACCACTTCCATGAGGGGCGAGCGAAAAAAATACTCCTTGTACCACGGAGAATCTAGCTTCGGCGCCCCCTTGACAAAACCAACGACGTTCTCACGCCGCCCAATAGACCAACCGTTGGGCGAATCACGGATGTTGTAGATCATCCGGAACGCATCGAAGGAGGGGGTCTCTTTTAGGCGGTCACACGCCCAACGGTACATGATCGAATGGAAGATAATGGTAGGTGAGAGGCATCCGAGTGTACAGTTGAGCCAAAGCAGGACCTTCGTCAGAATGGGGTCCAACGGGAACCGCAGACCTAGCTTCACGTGCTCGACGTGGATAGGAATCCAACCCTCGGGGCAAGACCCAGAGCGGCTCTGCTTGGAAGGGGCCGCATATCACCAGTCTGGAGGCATCCGGAGAGACTCCAGACGGTATAGCACTTGTTCTGGTCTAAAAACTGCGGCGTGTGACGGACCGCGAGCAAAAACCTCCTCCGGAGCCTCCCCGCCGTCCCACATCCCGCCATGGAGAAGCAGGGTATACACCGAGTCAGAAATTGCTAGAGGAAGCGGTCTCCCCTCCGCGTCCTCCACTACCTCCAAAGACGAGGAGGTACTGGGAACCGCCTCCGAGTGCACCCCGTCACTCTCACAATCGTCTTCAATGTCCAAGGAGGCGCTACCTAGTTCTACCCGATCCGATTCCCCCAAGTTATCCCCAACCGCCGAAGAGGTGGCCACAACCCCAACTGGTACAGGGTGGAGGTTAGCACGAGAGTTATCTAAGTCTACACAAGTTCCAACAAGGCAATCTCGCAATTCGTACCCCTCTCCAACATATAGCTCTAACCCGGATAAATCCCACACGCATTCAGACGTGCTTCGAATGGGAGAAGAATAACTCGTACCTTGAATACCAGAAGCGGTCTCTGAAGGTTTTTTCCCGGCAGCGCGAGGCGGCACGGTAGCGGCAGAAGATGCGGGCTCCTTCGTTGACGCCGCCGTCGGACCAGAGTCGGAGACCAAGACATTCCCCGCATCGGGGGCATGGTCCTTCTCCCCGCTCAGCAACGACGAGGGTCCCTCACCCGACATCTGTCGACGGCGAAAACGAACAAGATCGGCAATTCCCCAATACCCGAAGCGCCGGAGTCGCCCACAAGAACAAGACGCAAGTCAACAACACGAAGGAAATCACACGACCGAGGACCCAAACGAAAGAAAAATAAAGCCAAAACTCACCTGAAAGACTGAATTTATAGGCGACGACGTCGGCGACCTTCAAGCTTTCCGCAGAGAAAGAAGAGAGGAAGAAGACGAAGCGCTTTCCTAAACCGGAGGAGAGTGGCGAAAATCCCTCTCGAAATTCTACTTAAAGGCGAAAAGGGAAAGAATGACGTCCCGAAGTGACCTTTTCGCGAAACCCGAGAGCGGAACACCCCCAGAGGTGACGTTCCGTCTGCCGGTGTCAGAGCTCCCCGCCCGTTGCGCGACACGTGGCGGGTGGAAGTTGAATACCGAGTCCGGACGCGGTCCTTCCCCTAAGGCGTCCTCCCGATACGTCTCCGCGACTAGGGGCAACAAGGGAATCACACTAAATGCGGCCGATGACCGCCTCGAGTGTACTATGGGCCAGGACACCCAGAACCTCCCAACATTGGTAGAAAATATTATTTAGCCTCGAAAACCTATCGCTTCCCACGCCTAAGGGGCATATGTTGGGCCAAATATTGGGGCGTTTGGGCTCCAGGCCCATAGTAGCCTAAGACCCATCGTTGGGCCAAATAGTGAGACACTTGGGCTCCAAGCCCACAGTGGCTCAGAGTCCGTAAAGAAGCGAGTCGGGCCCGAGTAGGGGCAACGAGCCACCAAAACCCACCAAAGGCGGTCTTTTCCCTCGATACAGCGAGAACCGCCCGACATGGAGACACGTGGATGCTTGGTCCCGATCCTATCGGTACGGAGCCTGACACAAAAGCAAACGGAAACCTGGCTTTGACCTGATCTGTACAGAGCCTGAAAAAGGTACAGAGTGGCCAGAACTGTCGAGGGCATCCCAGGATGCCCGACAAGCCATTAAATGCCCATGATCCGCTTAGCACTAGTATAAATACTCAATTGCGAACCACATTGAGGGTAACTTCAACCAACTCCATTCTCTCTCTTATTTTCTCATACTTCACTTCTCTCTCTAACTTAAGCATCGGAGGAGGTCCCAGGAACCCCCTGAGGACCTTTCTGCAGGGTTTCGGAGACCGCCCTCGACCATCGAAGCCGCCTAAGGCCAGTGGAGTCTCACAAACCGCTTGGTACATTCCAGGCACAAACAGGTACCTTTTTGGTGAAGTGCTTCTTGCCTTTAACTGGGTTCTCATTGTTGGATCTCTTTATTTGAGCTTGGGTTTGCTTGAGAGACAATTTTGGTGGGACAAGGTAAGCTTAAAGCACACAAGGTGTTCGATCCTATGCCTGACCAAAGGATAGAACATGGCAACGGAGCAAGGCAGGGGTCATGGGAGACTCAATCCAACTACTAGGCCCTTGCCATTGAAGACTCCAGTTTCTCTTGCTCTTTCTGGCATTTGGGCTTCGGATTTCTGTTCTTAGCATGTTCATGACTCGGTATCTGGGAGATCAAACTTTACCAGCTGCTGTTGCAAGGCAAAAATGTTGGGTTGCCATCTCCCTTAGGTTTGCCCAGCCTCAGAGAAGAACCACCTTCTTCATTATAGTGGCGGCATAGGATGAATGACGAGTTGTTGTGGTGTGCTTCGTTTGTTCCTCGAATCAAAGAGTACCCTTTCAGGAGCGTGCCAAAGATTGCATTCATGTTCTTGACGAAGGACCCATTGCCCTTGGAGCCCTTTGGGAGAGGTTTTTTTTACCTCCAAAACGCCTTGTCCGATCTGAATGATGTTGTAGATGATTGTGATAGATTGTACGTAGAGGTGGCAAATGGATTGATTCATGGATAAGTGGATTGGATTGTTTGATCCATGGATCAAATGGATTGGATCAAATGGATTAATGGATCCATGGATTGGATAAAGTGGATTGATGGACTATCCATTAATCCAAATGACATTTAAATCATTGAATCAAGATGTCAAATTTGAAAACTTTATATACTGCAACTTGATAATAAAAATTTTAGGTACCAAACTGTATATTTTCCATGATATTTTATTATCGCAGATGAGACACTGAAACAGTCATCGCCGGCGACAAGAGTCTGCCGGCGACACCTCCAGCCTCTAGGTCCCTCCCAACTGGACAAGCGGCCGAATCTGGGGCCGAACGGCGCTGGCGGAATCCCTCCCGCAACCCTCCTCGAGCTCACACTCAACGGCGCTGGCGGAATCCCTCTCGCAACCCTCCTCGAGCACATCAACGAATGGATTCAGACGAGAAAAAGAGACTACGAATTCCGACGGCGATGGTAATGCAGAGAGATTGAACCTTGGCTGATTTCTCGGAGACTCTTAGCGAGTGAAAGAATGAAGGGTTTTCGGAGGACGATCGTTGTAAATCGAGAGAGAGGGAGCAAGGCGAAGCAGGGAATTTCCTAGAAGATGATGTCGTCGTACTCGCGGCGGCGTCGTCGTCATCATCCAGCCCGGAGAGAGTGTTCATGTTTCTCTCCGTCAGTATTCTACCGGAGACGGTGGCCCGCGAGAAAATTGTAGCGGGGCTGCTGAAATTGATTCACTTCAAGATGGTAAACGTGTTTGACCCCAGTGATGCAAAAAGGGCCCAAACGAGTAAAGGAGGGGAAAAGTAGCAGCAAAAATCTCAACACAAAAATCTCTATTTCATCCTTGAATTCTTTGAACTTATTTATCTTCTTCATTTCCACAGTTAGAGAGGAGGATCCTGATGATTGAAGCAAGCTAGAAATAGAGAGGTAGTTGGAGAACTCAGGATCGCTTATCAAGTTTCTATGTACTTCTTAGTTTCCTGTGTTTGTATTAGCTTTTCTTACCAGAAGTAAAACCTCTGTTAGCTTGTAATGTATGCTCTCAAGGAAACTAGTCTAGCATTTCTTATTCTCATTCCCTCATAGTAGTAACATGACAAATTACAGCCCCAAAAAGCCACAGTGCTCTTAAGAAACAAGTAGAGATTAACATGAAAAACACATCAGATGAGATATTCTGAAACAAGGACTAACCAAAATTACAAAAACTTGACTACCCACGTCACCATAACAGATTTGCTAAGATGCCTGCTCAAGTTGCAGGGGATGGTAAGCTTCTAGGAGATAGATGAACAAACTCCAGGGCCTGTGATCTAACTTGAACAGGGTAATCAGCTATACAAGAACCTTTTCATCATCAACAATACTGATCAAACCCAATCAGCCAAGTTTGGGTCAGAAAACATTCAGCATTACATCTTTGCATCAGGCAAACAAAACTCAATCGGGTTCATAACTCAATCATGTAGCTAAAAAGATGATGATATAGTTCAGTTTTCACTTTTCAATCATTCATCAGAGATAGGAGTATAATTAGCAGCCATCGAGGATGTTCCAATAGCCTTTGAAATCTTCACCTCAAGCCCATTATCACGATCATCACCTACATATCATAAGATTCTAATGTTACTTAAAGTTTCCTTAGATTGAACCATATCATATAAAATATATTCTTAATTAGCTTACTTGGAAACCCATATAACCAATTGCGTGTGGTTATCAAAGCTTCGGCATTTTCGGGCAAAAGAGAGCTTCGCCAGTTGTTTAACACTCTCCCTCCCATACTGAAAGCCGACTCCGATGCTACGGTTGTGATTGGAATGCTCAAAATATCTCTGGCCAAGTGAGCAAGCTCTGGGAACCGAGATTCATTATTCTTCCACCAGAGAAGAACATCCAATGGTTGTTTGCGCTTGAGTCTCTTATCATCTAAATATTCATCGAGTTGTGTTCTATCACCCAAGAACTGGTTTTCCCCAAAAGAATCAAACTCCTATGAAGAAAACAGCAACGAGATCAATATCATGCCAATGATGTGATGGAAGATTTGCAGACTGGGATTCAATATATGGACACTACAAATAATTTAAGGCAGCATCAGTTAGAAAAGAAGAAACAATGTAAGGCAGCATCAGTTAGAAAATTTAAGGCAGCATCAGTTCAAAAGCTAAAGGACAGCAGTAAGGACATGGTATTTGGATAGAAGAAACCACATCAAACTACAAACTCAAGCCATATCATCTAATGACTTTATCTCACTTCATGGTTTACAGAACATCCAAAAAATTCTTTTCAAGTTGAACAGCCTCATTAGCCATATCATCTAAGCTTCTAAACTTGTCTGCAAGACTGTAACATGCAGCAGCAGCAACAACAGAAAGTAGAAATAACCAACAAATATTCCAGAAGTTCCAGAAGCACTTCACATACTAATTCTACAAAATTGAATGAGCAAAATAAAGGACAAACATCATGAAAGAGAATAAAAAATGAGAAGCATGTTTACTTACATCCATATCATCTCCATAGTCAACATCTTCAGCAAAATCCTCAGCAAGGGATTGAGATTGATCAGTAGGATCACCATACAACTTCAGTAAATCACATATCTTCCCTCGAAGCTCACAACACTTTTCTTTAGCAACATCGTTGTCCCCATACAACTTCTCATAGCAAAACCTCACAGAATCCATCTTGTACCGTGGATAAAAAACCACTGCTATGGAGAGGATCATACTATAGGAGTCCCGGTACTTATCAAACTTCTGCTTCATTGCTAAACCCATATTTCGAATATCACTATCCATACTTTTAGATGCCTCCATTAGCCGCATCTGAATCCTCCATACATTGCAAAAGTACAAATTCGAAGTAGGATAATGCACTCCAGAAAAAAGGTTAGTGATATCATCAAAAGGTTTCAAAATCTTCTTAATTTTCTTGATCTTCTCCCATTCCACATCTGACGAAAATCGATCAAAATTCCTGTCAACCAACTTCAAATGCTGAAAAGCACGACGATAGAGCTCAGCTCTTTCAAGCATCATGTATGTCGAGTTCCATCTAGTCGGACAATCTAACCACAATCCTTTAGAACTCAAACAATTACTTCTTTTTGCACAATCTTCAAAGACAATCATTCGAGATTCAGACCCTTTGACATATTTCACCCACTCCCTAATTACATCTATTGAAGCACGAATATGTTTTAACCCTTCATTCACAATCAAGTTTAGAATATGAGCTCCACAACGGATATGAAAATATTCTCCATCACATACCAAAGCATCATCTTCTTTCAATTTATCGATCAACAAACTTTGCATAACATCATTGCATCTGGCATTATCCAATGTAATTGAGAAAATTTTCTTCTCAATTTGCCACTCTTTCAACAAATCATATATAGCTAGAAACAAAACTATTGCACTATGTGGAGGGGGAATGTGACAGAAGTTTAAGATCTTAGTATTTAACCTCCATTCAAAATCCACATAATGAACCGTGAGACAAAGATATCCTTCTGTAGCACAAGAAGTCCACAAGTCACAAGTCAAACAAAGCCTGCCAGGAACCTTGCTCAAGATAGTTTTCAATTTTTCCTTTTCCCTCTTATGAATCTTCAAACAATGTGACTTAGCAGTGTTCCGAGTAAATGACTTAAAATCATCATTCAAGTAGGCCATCACATCCTGAAGTCCACCATGCTCAACCATTGCAAATTCATACCCATGTTTTATGATAGCCATAGCCATTAGCTCCTTAAATCTATTTTGATCTATTGCTTTTGAGCTTCCAACATTCGACACTGGCACTTCAATTGCACGTCCAATACACTTAAAACTATGACGAGTGAGATTAGAAATACATTTACCAACCACATAAAGTTTGGGACAGTTTTTGCACTGTGCTCTTGATATATTATCTGCAAACTGATTCCCAGGGATAAAAGTAAATGTCTCCCATGCCTTAGAAGTTCTTTGTCGCTTTCGCTGAACACTTGTTCGAACCGTAGACGTCGACATTGCTGCAAAATGAGCCTCATCTCCAGAACTACCACCATCATCATTTCCCATAACATTCATTTGTTGACTAGACATCCTGAAATCAATCCAATTCCAGACTTATTTATGAATGCACAACTTCCATCAAATTAAAGACTAACTCACCATGACTAACAACTGCTTATTTGTGAAATCATTATATTACTGATATTTGTCACTTCACTAATCAATAGGGTGGTGCATTATATTACAATTAAAGGATGGAAGAGCTAGCTACCCAGCTTAATTAACAATCAAGCAAGCAAAGGTGGTGCATTATATTACTGGACAAATCAACAACTTCATTCAAACTCTATTATTCCAGTCCACGATTTAATGTCCAGTACCACTTCAGTCAATCGATCATGCATAGATCATATGTTCACAGATTCTTTGCACTAATTGTGACATGAAACATTGTGTGTGTATATAATACTAATGATCGATCAGATCATATATACAACTAACTTGCTCATCTTTCTACATCAATAACAACATTAAAGATTATCAATGTATTCAATAGAATTACATGTATGATTGGTCTGATCTTTCCAAACATTTTGTAAAACAAGCTAAGCTAGGAACAAAACCAACTCTGATTCCATTCCATCCTTTGATTGTTAAATATGAACAACTTCCATCCTTTGATTGTTAAATATGAAAACCCACTCTGATTCATTTCCATCAAGCAAAGAGAACCAGACAGGGCAACATAAATTGCAACTCACCATGACTAACAACTGCTTAATACAAAATGCAACTGGAAAGGGGAAGGGGAAGGAAATTACCTGAGATTTTAGTACTTCAGATTGGAACTGGACAAGTCTGATTCAAGAACTTCAAATTTTGGCTGCTCCAAGCCAAAGTACTGAATGTTCATTCGAGTTTAGAGTTCACTGCAAGAATTCACAAAATCAGAAATTCCAATGGTGAAACAATGGGGAAGAGGTTCGATTAGAAAGTACCTGTTCAACCTTTGAGACGGCGGAGCGGAGAAGCAACGAACAAAATTTCAGTTCGTGGGTTTGGGCGAATGGAGTGATTAACGTTCCTTGATGGAGCTGGACGAGAAATGATGGAGAGGAAGGAGAGTTTCTGACCTTCGTGAAGGAGGCGGCGAGGTGGGTCTGGATAGGAGGCGACGAGGTGGGTCTGGAATAGGAAGCGACAAGGTCGCGGTGATTTTTGGAGGCGACGACTGACGAGGTGGGTGAGAGAGGCGGTGTCTTATCGGCGTTGTCTGGAATTGGAGATTTGGAGGCGACGAGGTCGCGGTGGTTGTTGGAGGCGACGACTGACGAGGTGGGTTCAAGAGGGGGAGAGAGGCGGCGACAGGCCACGTCTCCGACTGCTTCAGGGCTCAGGCTCTTGTTTTGTTTTGATTTTTGGGTATAGGTTAGTGATTTAGTGGATATCCATGAATCCAGTCCATTTATCCATGGATTAAATGGATTTGGACTAACTTGTTTGATTGATGGATTTGATGATGGATTTGGTGAAGGATTTGGATCCATCATGGACTTTGTCCAAAATCCATTGTTTGCTTCATGCATTTAGGAGAAACAAATCCGTGGGTCCCACGAACTTTAAGGGACCAAATCCGTGGACCCCACGGACTTGAAAGTTCCACCTATTTAGGTGGGAATTGATTATGGACTTTGAAGTCCATCATTTTTTACCAACATACCCTTCATATTTGCTTTCTCTTCTTATATCATTAAGGGCAATAAAGGTAAATTACTCTTCATACATACAAATTTAATTAACAAAATCCATCATGAAATCCATCAAACAAACAATGGTGTTTATCAAATCCATAATGAACCTAAAACCCTTATTAATCCATGGTTTTTCAAAACCCAAGTTATACCAAAACCTTCATTTTTCAAATCCACGACGCAAACGAGCCCTAATGGATTTGGATCAATTTAAATGGATTGGACTGGATTGGACTAATGGATTGGATCAAGATTGCCAGCTCTAATTGTACGTAAAGTAAGTCGGCCTAGAGGAATGTTGGTGAACATTTTGTGAAGCACTCAATCTCACATTGAATATTTTCTCGAGGGAAGCTTCGGTTTCTCGGTTAGTCTGCTCAATTTCTTTTTGCAGCTCATTCTCATCCATTGTGAACCTCTTCTTCTTGTCATTCTTCAATTCTTCTGGAATGATATCCTCAAACTGTGAGTAAAGAATCTTCTTCATGTTCTCGTTCTGTCTCACAATGGTGTCGAGAGAAATCAAGTAAGGCAGACGGAAACCAGCGATCAGCCATTGGTTACCTTCACGTCGAGCGTGTACGAAATCAGGGATTGAAAGTTCCGGCTAAGGAGTTCCTTTCCGCGCAAGGCCATTTCTGCGAGACAAGACAAGATAATATTGGGCCCGGCAGGGATAAATAGACAATTGGGCTACGCTTTTAATATGGGCTTTCTATACCAAAAGAAATAACAGAGGGGTGACAGTTCACAAGAAATTTTGTGACCAAATTTGAAAACTTTCGGTCCAGTCTCTCACTTACAGGCCAAAACCCTAGTCCACCTGCTTTTATAATCGCAGCCGATACCGATTAGCTCTCTCCTCTTTCCAGTAGGGTTTTGGTTTATTGGCTCAGCAGTTCCTCCGCGGCGAACGCCTCTCCCTCCACGTCTTGAGCTAGAACGATCTGCAGCCATGGTACGGAAATCCTTTACTGTTTCTACAATATTGCTTGAAGATATAGTCGACCGATCTTCGTGTTAGTCAGTGATGTTGAAACTGTTTTCGGTCAGCTTGTTAGCGCTCATGATAGATCTGTTATGTTTCCCTGATAGATTCAGTAGAGGTTTAAGATTTAGAGGAATCGACTGTATTTGGAGTCGATGGGCAACTTGATTGTTGATTTGGGTTTGCGAAGAGGATATTAGGCTTTGGGATACTCGTTTGATTAGGCGTTTCCATTGCATCATTTCTTCAATAACGTGCTGGGTCTAGGATTTTTCGGTGTTGTTAGGCTCTGTTAGTTGGATTTCACTAAAGTTTTACTTTGAGTTTGCATCAATGAAAAATAGGGGTTTGAAGAGCTTGCTTATGCTGCTGGAATAGTGAATGCTTTGTCCTTTCTTGCGTTTCATGAGGCTTTGGTGTTTGCTTTTGTTCAGTCTGTTCATGGTTTTTTGTTTTGCACTGTTGTGTTTGGGATATTGCAGTCAAAGAGAAAGGTTAAGGAGCCCAAGGAAGAGGCTGCTCCGCTTGGTCCTATTGTGCCTGATGGAGTGAATGTTTTTGGTGTTGCCCACATCTTCGCATCATTCAATGACACATTCATTGTAAGTGCTTGAATTCCTTTCCTTTGCTTGTTAATCTTGTTTTGTTTACTGGTTCGTGTGTCTAACCCCTTTACTTCTGTTGGAATGGCAGCACGTTACTGATCTTTCTGGAAGAGAAACCCTTGTCCGCATCACTGGTAATTTCACTGATCCTGTTGGTTAGATCCATATCATAATGTCTTGTTGCTGTTATGGAATCAAGTCATTTTATTTGACCCTCCAGAGTACTCCCAAGTTATTGTATCTTGTTCTCCTTTCGATGTGATCTTCCTTGTAGGCTTAGATATTTTTACTCTTGTTTCTGAACCGTCGTTTACCAGACCTAGAAGATCTGCAACTTAAGAGATTTTCTCCTTTCCTTTTTGTCCCTTATGGTTGTATTTTGGAGTTAGTCCACTCCTTGTGAGCCCTCTTTTCAATCCAAATACAACTACTCGTTCATAAAAAAAATAGTTCTGTGTGCTTCAGTTTTGTTGATCTTAACATTTCATCTGAACAGGTGGAATGAAAGTGAAAGCTGACAGAGACGAGTCTTCTCCTTATGCTGCCATGCTTGCTGCACAGGATGTTTCACAGAGATGCAAGGTCTGATTAATTTTGTGAGATATTGATAGTTAATGACTTTTGCATTTGGAAAATTTTGTTTGAATGCGACAACATAATGCGGATGATTCTTCACCCTGTGCATTCTCATTTGTATTCCCTGTGTCACCATCACAACCGAAGAGCTCAAACTATGTTCAGTGATTTTGCATCTAAAACTATTTAGGTCCATGTACAGTTATACTTATGTGAGCAATTCTCATTTGTATTCCCTGTGTCACCATCACAACCGAAGAGCTCAAACTATGTTCAGTGATTTTGCATCTAAAACTATTTAGGTCCTTGTACAGTTATACTTATGTGAGCAACTCAAACTATTAAATATAATTCCTCAAAACTTTTCTCTTGATGTCATTTATAGCATTAATCTATAACCCAGACTCAAGTGATCTATGCTTACAAGTCTGTCTTTGTTTTGGGTTCAGGAACTTGGAATCACAGCACTTCACATTAAGCTGCGTGCTACTGGTGGAAACAAGACCAAAACACCTGGACCAGGTGCACAATCTGCTCTCCGTGCCCTTGCTCGTTCTGGAATGAAGATTGGTCGCATAGGTATGATGTTCTTTTCCAGCTCTTATTGCTATAGTGCAGGATAATGTCCCTGTTTTTTAGTTTTGAACTTCCGTTTGGTGCTACTGTTGTCACATACTCTGTTTCCGTCTGTGTTTTATAAAATGCATACTTTCCTGTATCCTCTATCCTCGTAGGGGTAGTTCTTAAGTTCTAACTCTCCTTGTGTATTCATTGTTTCAGAGGATGTGACTCCGATCCCAACTGACAGCACTCGCCGAAAGGGTGGTAGAAGGGGAAGAAGGCTGTAAGCATTTTGCGCCGTTCCAAGCAAAGATCAGGCTCTCCCTATTTGCATTATGGTTGTCTTTTCAAACAGCGATTTCAGTACTTAAGTTGTTGTCTTTCTGAGTTTTGCCTATGGCTTTTTGGTGACAATGGAGACGAATAGTTTACATAACAATATCAGTTGAGCCGTCGCCTTTTTCGTTCCATCATCAGTGAGTTGGATTTTGCAACTTTATTAGTGTCAAAATTGAGCTAAAGCAAACAGTCATTGCTGTCAAGACTGTCGTCTTCTAAGAATATTATGCTCTGTCGAATCATTATATCAACTGGCCTAGACTCATTTTCGCCATGCCAAAGGCTGTCGGGTTGGCTATCCGTTTTGATGGGGTCGTCATCGTCATAGTTGTTGAGTATTCGGCCAATCATAATTCGTGTACCCAATCACACTAACATACACGTTTTTCTTTTTGAAAGAATGATCTATTCGATGTGCGGCGGAAAAATCGATTCAATCTTGATGTGTGGTTTCCTACTTCGAATTGGGTCCCAAGCCACAAATTCATGACAAAAAAAAAAAAAAAAGACAAATTTTTTTTGCAGAAGGCTTCTGTCCTGGGATGCCTCTATACAAATCTAACACTTGCTGTCCGAACAACTATAAAATGGATACGATGAGTGTCGGTAATTAGTTAGTCTTTCAACGATCAATGTTAGTGTTTTTGTGTGAAAATATCGGGACTCAAGATAGAAAGAGAGGAGAGTAGGGTGAGTCCCCGTAATTGGAAGTCCTACGAAGCTTATTTATAAACAAAGAATTGTGTAACCGACTTGGAGTTTGGTAGGTGGACTTCAAACTTATTGTTGAAGTTCGGATTATATATGGTTATGTCTTTGGTGCACTCACTTTTTTGGATGTATTCAATGCATTCGCTTCATATTTGTCATTATGAGCATGCGATTCATGTTAAAACAATGTTAATCATCACGTATGATACGATGAACAAGAAACCCCATGAATTAGCACAAAAATTATTCAAAATTTACATTAATTTGAAGAAATTATGATTTATAGATTTAGGGTTAGGGTTAGGGTTCATGATTTGGGGTTTAGGGCAAAAGTTCAAAATTGAAGGTTTAGGGCTTAGGGTAATGCATTGATTAGTTGTGATCTTATATTATATTATCATATTACACTAATCTTACCAATTAAAATAAAAAATTGATGTCTTAAGGCTACTTTTAGAGTTTGGTGCATTGAATGCACGCATTTTTGTGAGTGCACCGAAGTAGCCACCCTATATATATATATATATGGTGAGTTCTATGGTACCCTGGGTAAAATCTGGGGTATCGCATACCTTGAGTATGAAACACTATCTAGACCTTGAATTGACCGATCTTTCGGATATGATACTATACTCTAACCCTTAAAGATCAAAATCTAGGTCTTAATTCTCCCAATCTTATACTTCAATATCAATTTAATTAGAAACAATAATCGACGGTTATGATTCGTCCAAATATAGACACAAAAAGGAATGCACCATCTTAGGGTTTATAGATTATGATTTAGATAATTAGGACCTAGGGTTCACTCATTAAGGGTTAGGGTATAGTATCAACCCAAAAATCCTGCTAATTCGAGGTCTAGATATCGTTTTCATACTCAAGGTATGCGGTACCCCAGATTTCACTCGGGGTACAGTAGAAGGCACCATATATATATATATATATATATATATATATATGGTGGCGTATTCGGCGCACCCACTTTTTTGGGTACACTCAGCGCACCCGCCTCATAATCATCATTCTGAGCATGCGATTCATGTCAAAATGGTATCAATTGTTGCTTATGATATTATGAACAATAAGCCCATGAATTTGAAAAAAAAAATCATTTAAGATTTACTTTAATTCGAAGGATTTAGTATTTAGGGGTTTAGGGTTAGGGTTTAGGTTTACAGTTTTAGATTTTGCATTGGCATTCAAAATTGAAGGTTAAGGGGTTAGGGTAATAGATTGATTTGTTATGATTCTATGTCATATCATCATGTTAGATTGAGAGTACTAATTAAAGTTCAAAATTTGATGTATTATGGACACTTTTAGAAATGGGTACACTGAGTGCATCCAAAAAAGTGAGTGCACCGAAGTAGCCACCTATATATATATATATATGGCGAGTTCTATGGTACCCTTGGTAAAATCCGGGGTACCGCATACCTTGAGTATGAAAACACTATCTAGACCTTGAATTGGCCGATCTTTCGGACATGATACTATAATCTAACCCTTAAAGATCAAAATCTAGGTCTTAATTCTCCCAATCTTGTACTCCAAGATCAATTTAATTAGAAACAATAATCGACGGTTATGATTCGTCCAAATATAGACACAAAAAGGAATGCACCATCTTAGGGTTTATAGATTATGATTTAGATAATTAGGACCTAGGGTTCACTCATTAAGGGTTAGGGTATAGTATCATACCCAAAAATCCTGCTAATTCGAGGTCTAGATACTATTTCCATACTCAAGGTATGTGGTACCCCGGATTTCACCCGGGGTACCATAGAAGGCACCATATATATATATATGGTTTAGGCTAGCGTATACCCGGGCGTACGTTAGACTACCGTACGTCCGTTTGAGTTTTGCTATTTAGATCATGAATTAACCGGAGTTTTGGGCATGATACTATACCCTAAACACTAATGGATAAACCCCAGTCCCTAGTTTTCTAACCCAAATCATGAGATTCGTTTAATCTTGAAATGAAAATCAACAATAATTTCGACGAATCAAAACTGTTGATTTTCATTTCAAGATTAAATTAATATTACGCTTTGGGTTAGTGAATTGCGGACTGGGGTTCACCCATTAGGGGTTAGGGTATAATATCATGCCCCAAACTCCGGTTAATTCATTTTGTAAATAGCAAAACTCAACGGGCGTACGGTAGGCTAGGGTACGTCCGGGCGTACGCTAGCCTTTGCCTTCTACGGTACCCCGGGTGAAATCCGGGGTACCGCATACCCTGACTATGAAAACGCTATCTAGAACTCGAATTAGCAGGATTTTTAGGCATGATACTATAACCTAACCCTTAATGAGTGAACCCTATGTCCTAATTATATAAATCTAAACTATAAACCCTAAGATGGTGCATTGATTTTTTGCCTATATTTGGACTAATCATAACCGTCGATTATTATTTCTAATTAAATTGATCTTGGGGAATAAGATTTAGAGAATTAAGACCGAAATTTTGATCTTTAAGGGTTAGATTATAGTATCATGTCCGAAAGATTAGTCAATTCAGTGTCTAGATATCGTTTTCTTACTCAAGGTATGCGGTACCCCGGATTTCACCCTGGGTACCGTAGAACTCCCCATATATATATACTTGTGTCCAATATCTTCATAGAGGGATAGGTTTTCTTGGAAGAAACCATTTATTAATAACATTTGTAGCTAGTTTTATAATCGTTTCGAAACCCCGAAGGGGTTGCGATGCGAGCACTATAAGCAGAATCAACATAATTTCGGTCTTTTGGTTTTCTCGATTTTTCTTTTGTTTTTTTTGCTTGTTAGGTTTAGCAATTCTGTTGTTTTATTCTTGTACCTGTAATCCTTCAATAATATATAGCACACTCTCATCTACTTTTTAGCATTTCAAATTTGTTGGCTTCTCCTTATTTTTAGCTATGGATAAAAAGGTAATTAAATACTTTCACAAAAACCGCACTACAGCTATTTTCTCGGGCCTCTTAATTTTTTTGTCTCTGAAATCCATTATTCTTTCATGCGGTAGGACGAGGTGGGCTTTTCAGATTTTTTTTCATAGATAAGATTTTCTTTCTTTATAATAGATGCAATTTTCATTTACTTTCTACTCACGCTCTTTAAGAAAAAAGGTGTGCCAATATTATTTTTTATATGAAAATTAGTTAAATCATTGTATAGTGGTTTTATTTCATCACATGAAGTTTTTCATTTCGTATTATTTTTGGATGTGACACAGCTTGATTAATACTAGAATTGGATCCAGTAGCGATATATATAGACCCAACAACAAAGAAAAATCACAAGCATCACATATAATTTATTTAATCAAAGTTGATATGATCCAAATTTTATTTTCATTTTTTAGTCAATTTGTTCGAGAAACGAAAAGAGCTAGCTTTTAGAGATTTTGCCAGTAAAACGGCTCTCAAGGAGACATTTATCTAGAGAAGATGCTTGAAAGTCTAAAGATTCCCATTCAAGACTCTTAACCAGTGATGCTAGATATTCATTCAGTTGATATTTATTTTTGCAAATCAAAGTTAATACTTAATACTGATGTAATCTATAGCTTAGTTGGGTTTTACATATTTGGTTTCTTCAAAAAAAAAAAAAAATGTTTATCTATCCTAGCATGTTGTGTGTGAGATATTGAAGATTTTTGTTTTGCACAAGTCTATTTCCAATGATCACATATATTATGTAATTCAAAAGCAAGTTTCACTTATTATATTATATTAATTAATTTACGTAAGTTGAACATGCAATTAGTAAATTTTAGGGGTGCGCCTATGGTGACATGCATGTCACCGTAACATGCATTTTTCGGTCGACCTATTCCTAATCGCGGTCGACCGAATACACTAATGTGGGCAATATGATGACTTATGACGGTAGACCTTTAAAATATAGTGGTCGACCGTTTTGAGTTAAGTTGTGACATTACCGGTCGACCGCAATAAAACATGGGTCGCCTTTTCATTGTAGTCTGAAGAAAATTGGTCGACCATAAATTTAATGAGGTCGACCACTTGATTGTGGTCATTACCAAAATGGTCGACCATTTATAGAAAGAGGTCGACCAGACAGAAGAGTAAAGTGCTCTATCCATTTATCCATCCCTTTTTTATGTGAAATGAAGATCGAGTGTTGAGGTCGACCGAATACAGTAAGTGGTCGACCGAATTAAGGAAATTTAGCCTATGACCTTCGACTTTTTTGCGTATGTATGTCGATGTGGGTGGTTTGTTTGATAGTCATTGTAATCAGTCTTATATCATGGTATCAAGGACCCATAACTTCTTAACATTACAACGTAACACACTAACAATAAATATAATAAAACACACTTCATAATTGTTCACATAAAACACACTTCATAAAATAAAAAACCACATAAAAACTAAAAACACAAGCTAAACTCATAGAGTTCCTACACCTCTCAACTCTCTGAAACAGCAAATCAGGTCGACCTAATCCTATATTAGGTCGACCGAAAAGTGCATGTTACGGTCACATGCATGTAACCATAGCAAAGTCCTAAACTGTTATTATTACCTTCACTTTGTTTTTATAAGTTAAGATTGGGGAAGATATTCACAAGTCTATTAATTGTCATTCACTTTTAAAG